AGGCACTGGGCTAGGCTTCTAGGAAGTAGACACATCAATGTCATCCCCATTTTACAGATGAGAACATCGGGGCTGAGAAAGCCTAAATGATTGGCCTGCGCTGTTCACCTGGAGTGTCTGAGTGTCAAGCCTGCTCTGGGAACCACTGGCCCAGCAATGTCCCCACAGCAGGTAGAGCAGCAGGTGGGGGTGTCAAGGGGCTGAGAGTCCCTTCCAGGAGAGACAACCTCATGGGGATATTGGGCCAGTCCCTCTAGATGAGCCCATGAATCATGACCCGTGGAGGCCCCAGCGCCACCCCTGACTTTCCTTCTTTTTTTTTTTTTTTTAAGATTTTATTTATTTGAGAGAGAGAGAATGAGAGAGAGAGAAAGCACATGGTGGGGGGAGGGTCAGAGGGAGAAGCAGACTCCCTGCCGAGCAGGGAGCCCGATGCGGGACTCGATCCAGGGACTCCAGGATCATGACCTGAGCCAAAGGCAGTCGCTTAACCAACTGAGCCACCCAGGCGCCCCTGACTTTCCTTCTGACCCCAGAGGCCCAGCAAGCCATTCCTCCATGCACTCAGGTGCTGTGTGGGGGCCAGTGAGTGACTCATCGAAGCTTACACTGAGGGCTCGTGCTCTCCGTAGGGGCTGTGGGTGACTGTTAGTCCCATTCCAGAACACAGCGTGGGACGTGCCTGCATAGAAGGGATGGGGAGCGTGGGAACATGGTGCAGGAGCCATTCTTTCTGCCTTGGGAACTTGGAGACGGGGAAGGAAGCCTCTATGGGAGAAGTGCCATCTGAGCCCATCCTTGAAAGCTTCATAGTATCTCATCAGGCAGAAAAATGGGGAAAGGGCATTCTAGGCTAACGCACAGCCTGAGCAAAGGTGTGGGAGTGGAAGGGGCCCTGGATGAGGCCGAGGAGGGCTCAGCTCTGGGGAGCGCAAGTGGGGCTCTCAGGGCTCTGCGGCCGCCACACTAGGGAGTCGGGTGTTTGAAGACTGGGGAGCTGCAGTGAGGCAGTTAGTTGATGCGTGTTTATTGAGCAGTTCTTAGGAGCCTGGCTCTGTAATAGGCGTGAGGGGACCGAGATGACTTCAGGCACGCTCACCCATAAGAGCCTGGCTGGCCCACTTACTAACCTGGACCCAGCACCTTTCCTTCCTCAGACTGGCCTTCTCCTTCCATAAAACAGGCTTTACTGTGCTTGTCACCAGATGACAGAGCTCTTTGAGGTCTTGGGATGAAAGATCCTGTAAATATGGAGCCCTGTCACCAGCCGGGGCAGGGTGGAGTTGGGAGCCCACATCAGATCCCCGAGAGGATGGAGAAACAGCCCCTGGGGGGGTGGGAGGGCACCAGGATCCTCTGAGGTTACCCCCCTCCACAGCTGCCAAACATGTTCCTGCTGCCAGGAAGCCTGACATTAAAGTCCTCCCCATCCCGCCCCCAGCAAGGACACTGCTTGGGGTGACTAAATGACAGACGCCGACACCCTGTCTGCTGACCCATGCTGACAGCCGGGAGGGAGGAGTAGAGGTGGCCTTGGCAGCAGCGAGGTGGCTAGAGGCTCTGCTGTCACTTTCGTGTTCCTCTGACAAGGGCACACTGAGTCCCTGACTCGTGTAGTCTGGAGCTGGGGCAGGCAGACCGGTACACAGGTCATCCCACCCCCATGTGGGACGGTCACGTCTCCCCGACGTGACCATGAGTCCAGGACAGACCAACAGCCCAACCTCCTCGTCTTCCCAGAGATCTCCGGCAGCAAAAGCCCTTTGTGTTGGAGCAGTTTCTCTCCTCACTTGACCTCACACATGAGGAAACAGAGGCCAGAGGGCCTTGCTGACTTGTCCAAGGTCACGCACAGGACAGTTGTAATTATTCATGTGAGGAAAATGGCTCCGAGAGCTCAAGTGGCCACCCCAGGATCACAGAGCAAGCAAGTGGGGCACCTGGCCTGGAGCCAGGGCTGCGGGTCCCGCTTTGCTTTTTATCATCCCTACACGGACGTGAGACTTCCTATGGCTGCTCTGGGTGAGAGCAGAAAAGTGCTAAGTGGCCTGGGGGGGAGGGGGGCCCGCAGGCCAGGGCTGGGGCAGGAGCCCATTTTGGCTCCCCTGGCTGAGCTGTCCGTTCCTCAGCATCTCCAGCAGAGCAGGCAGGGCGCCCAGGGCCCACGATATGGAAATGGTTTCATTTTCATCCTTTTAACATCAGAAGAAAAACTCCGTATAATCATAATAGTAAATATTTACGAATGAATCAAGCCTAGATTGCAGTCATCTTTCTGCCAACGTGGTCCTAACATATATGTTTAAATATTTTTTTTTTTTTTATAAAGGAAGGGGCTGCCAAGGCAAAGGTGCCTGGTGACAAAGAAAGCCATCACGTGGCCCCCACTGCAGGGGCTGCATGGTCAGCCACTGAGATCTTGTTCCAGGGGACGAAGCGGTCCGCCTCCCGCCCCGCCACTGGGTATGAAATGATGAGGAGAAAAGGAGGAGCAAGAATGGGGCGGAGGCCCAGAGAAGACTGGCCACATGAATGGCAGCCACGCAGGGAAGAGCCCCGAGGGGGTGAGAGGTCCTGAGGGAGCCGGGGGAGATCGGTGAGGGGCCGAGAGAGGGGGAGACGGGTCTGCGTGTGATGGGCGGCACGGCACAAACACGGGACAGCCGAACAGTGAAGCCAAGAATTTCTCCCGGCTCTCACTACTTTCCTGTGGCTGTGGTAACAAGTGGGCACAAATTTAGTGACATAAGCAACAGAAACGTATTCTCTCACAGTTCAGAAGACCAGAAGTCTGAAATCAACATCACTGGACCCGAAATCCAGGTGTCCGCAAATCCGTGCTCCCTCCCGAGGCTTTAGAGGAGAACGGGGTCCTTGCCTCTTCCAGCTTCTGGGAGCGGCCAGCATCGCGTGTCCCATGACAACATCGCACCAATCTCTGCCTCCGGGGTCCTGCTGCCCTCTCCTCTTCTCCTCTCCCTCTCTCTTAAAGAACACTTGTAATTACATGTAGGGCCACCTTAATAATGCAGGATAATCTCCCTTTCTCAAAGTCCTTCATTTAATGGCGTCTGCAAAGATTCACCACTTTCACTCACATGCACAGTTTCCAGGGATTAGGACCTAATATCCTTGGGGCCATGATCCACCTTCTCCTGGCCCACAGAGGCAACACGGTTTAGGAGGGACCTGCCTCCAGCCGGCAGAAGGCATGCCCCAGGAAAGGGTCCTTCTGCCAGGATCCTCAGGAAAGGGTCCTTCTGCCAAGATCCTCGGAGAGTGAAACAGGCCTGCAGGGGAGATGGTGAGATATGGACACTCCGCTGGAACTGACGAGGACAGGACCGGGGAATTAAGTGCCCAGGGGAGAAGGTGTCAAGAGAGGCCCCTGGGAAGCTGGCCCTGCATCTGACTTGCGTTCTCATTTCACTCATTCCTCGGTCAGCAGATACTCAGACGTGAACCCCGCCCTATGCGAGGTCCTGGAGAGCCAGCCCTGTCCTCAGGGTCTAACCCTTGTCTTCAGGATGCTGCAAGTGCAGGTGAGGCCCCCCCTCTTTTTCAGGGGGAGCAGTAGAGGCCCAGGAAGGGGGGGTCGTTTTTGTCTGGAGCGCTAAGTTGTTAGCCCAAGGGCTTCACTAACCTCCCCCCGCCGGCCCCGCACCTTCCTGTCCTGTCTCAGTAATTTTGTAATTTCTTGTCTCTTCCTCTTGGTGCTTTAATAGTGAAATAACCACAGTTACCCTTAGAAGAACTTGCACAGGAAATGACTCCTCCCGAGCTGTGCACTTGCTGCATCTGTAAAGTTGGCGGGAGGCGGGCTGCTGGAGTCTGGCAGCATTTGACCCGCTCAGTATCTATCACACGAATCTGAGTGAGGGAGAGGAAGAGGTAACCAGCCTTGCCTTCTCAGTATCAAATGTAGCAAACTCCCTCCTTAAACTGGAGAAAAACTAAAAAAACAAAAAACAAAAACTGGAGAAAAACTTCTGCAGTGAAACTTGGGGGCCCTGGGAGCAGACTGGGAAGTGCCCGAGCCTCCTGCCATGTCTGGAATCCCAAAATCAACCCTAAAGCGGAAAAATCAGACTTGGATGTGAAGAGAATCTCCTAATCTCAATTCTGCCTCTTTCTAGCTGTGACTTTAAGCAAATCCCTTAAAACCTCTATGAACCTATTTCCTAATCTCTAAAATAGTTGTAGAAATGCCTGGCTAAAAGGACAATTACGCATGCGCCAGGCGTTTAGCAAGCCTTCGACAATCCACTAACAATCCACTAAGGGCTAACTATCGCTACTCCTCCAGGTGGGCCTGAGGTCAGGGGTCTTCTACTCTCCTTGCTCCCCACTTCCTTGGGCCATCCTCAGAGAGGCTGTGTCTCCCCAGTCACCCGATGCCTTTAAGGCCCCAGCGCCCCGGCCTGCGGAGTCCGCTTGCGGGGCGCTGGGACGCCCCGGCCGGAAGGCCACGGGTGGGGTGAGGCGCACGAGGCCGCGCTCGGAGCCGGACCAGGTGTTTTGAGCCGCCAGGCCGGGAGTCAAGGGCGCAGTCAGGCCCGACCGGGCCCCCACCTGCCGGTTCCAGCAGCGTCCTCCAGCGGCCCGCGGCCGCCCCCGCGCCTCCCACGCGCGGACTCGGGGCAAGGCGCGCCGGGCCACCCCCAGCTACGGCCCACCCCCAGCTACGGCCCACGCGGTGGGCGGAGCAACCGGAGCCTTTGTGTTCAAACCGCCCAATGGGCGGTGGCAGTGGGCGGTGACGCGGGCGGGGCCTGGCCAATGGGCCGCGGCCTGTCAGCGCTGATTGGCAGGCGCACACATACACACTCGGCCACGCGCGCGCCGGCCGGCCCCACTCGCGCAGCGCGATTGTGCGCGGGTCGCATTGTCTGCCGCGCCGTCCCGCCCGCTGGCCTCGTCCCGCGCCGCCGCTGCCCGCGCGCCCCGGGCCCCTCACCGAGCACCGCTCGCGGGATTCCGACGCGGGAAGGGGGCGCGCCCGGGCGGCGCAGCGGGCCTCGGACGCCCCCGGCGCCGCACGGAGCAGCCGCGGCAGCAGCAGGTAACCGCCGGCCGTGGGCCTCGGGCGGGTGGACGTGCCGGGCAAGGGTATGTGGGCCGGCCTCGCCCGCCTCCCCGCGGGCTGCCGCCTCCGGGGTCATCGTCGGCCCGCTCCGGCCAGGGCCGAGCTGTGCCCAGGCCTGGTTCTTCCTCTCCGGGCCAAGCTGGGCCGGGCTTCGGCCCCGCCCGGCGCACGCCCCTGGGCCGGTCGGGAAGGGCCAGCGCCGTGCCGGGGGGCCAGCCGCCCTGACTCATCGCCGCCGCCCGCCCACTGGCCAGCCCGGAGGGCGGATGTCTCCAGGCGGGACTTCCCCGGGCACGACCTCCCCGAGAGGAGGGGAGCGAGAGCCGGGCCACCTCAGACCGGCCCAGGGCAGTGCCTGTTTTCGTGCCAGGCAGGCAGTTTCCAGGGACAGGCAGTTCCCTGCCTCTGCCTGTCAGACTCTGGGAATAGGAGGAAGGCCCATTTTGTTCCGTTCTTTAAAAAAAGAAACCAAACAAATAGGAGGCGGGAGTGTGACTTAGAGTGGCAGGGAAGGCGCGTGGTTGGTTAAAAAAAAAAAAAAAAAAAATCAAATGTCTGCAGGTTCAGCCCGGAGAGAAAATGAGGGGAGAAGGGAGTTAGCACCTGGAGCGTTTTACAGGTCCCACGAGGGAAAGTAGTGTGAAAAGGCCCCGTGGAAGACGCCCGAGATCTAGGTTAAGTCTGAAGACTGGCTGCTTACGGCCATATAAGTTTGTGGAGGGGGGTGTGGGGGAAGGTGGAGTTGAGAAAAGGATGTGGTTCGGCCCAGAAGTGGGGAGGGATGTTGTGTTTGAGGGTTTCTCAACTGGTGTGTGTGTGTGTTGGTGAGGGTGGGGTCTATTCTGATATGCAAAAGATGTGAGCTCCTAGAGGCTCTTGTTTTGTTTTGGAGGATTCGGGCCTTGACCTTTCTCATCTTCTGAAACCCAGACTCAGTTGCAAAGTGTTTCGTGATACCAGGACTACGGGAAAGACTGGAAGGGCGGAGGAGGGGACTGCTGACAGTTTTCACCACCCCCTCCCACCCCGACCCCACACACCTCCGTCTGAATATTTATATTCTTGCCAAGAGCGGCTTGAGTTGGCAGAAACATTGTTTTGTTTCTGCCCCAGGGTGAAGGCTTCCTTCCCTTCAGCAGGCAGGGGTTAAGAGGAGGAGCCTATATGGGCATCTGGAGCTTTCAGGTGGGGAGGGCAGTCGAGGGGGTGGAATTACCTTATAAGGAGTGGAATATAGAAAAGGACCCAGGCCAACTTCCTGCTTTGGCTACTACCAATTGGTCCCTTTACCAACACCGGCCTAAAACCACGGAGGGATGCTAGGTGGGCATCCTACCTGGGAAGATGCCAATAAGACCAAGACATGAGGCTGCTTGTTTTTCAGAAGAGGACTTTCTAGAATTCTCCAGCTGGACTAACCAGAACTTCTGGTTTCCACAGCCTTGAGTTGGGAAATATTGGAGTCTATGCTCTTTGTACAGCATAGGGACCTAACAGTGTAAGGATCACCCAGGAATACTAGAAGTGATAATAAGTCAAAAGTACTGGGGACTCTTGAGTGGGTCTAAGTGTAACAAAGACTTTGTAACATGGGCAGGCAAATGCACCACGTTGAGACTCCTCACATTGGTCATCTGAGATTTTGAATTTGGGTTTTTATATTTGGAAGGCTTATTAATCCTCCTCTGGTTATCAAACGCTGTCTTTTGCCTGGTCTCCTCACCTTGGCCTCCTTTGAGTCCTCGATATCAATTCCAGAGCCTTGATTCCTCACCGCATATGCTGACTTGTTCCCTCCGGCAGAGATTGACCGAAATCCTACACCTGTCAGATCTACGCTCAAATCCTGAGTCTGTTATTCATAGGCTAGGTGACTGTGGGCAAGGTCACCCATCACCTCCGTGTCCCAGGGTCCTCCCTTGTACAGTGGCAGGAATGGTACTTCCCATGTTCACAAGGATCAGAGATGGCTGTGTAAGGAGCCAGTTACCTAGGAGGCATTTAACAAAGTATTCTGTCCTCACCATCACCATCCTACCAGGATGCACTGCTGTTGCTGCACGCTGATCACTGAGGGGACACAGCATGCAGACCCCTTCAGGATGGAGGTGGGGCTTACCAGGAAAAAGGTTTTCTCCAGTCCAAGTTGGATTGGCGCCCTGAGTCAATGAGTATAACCACAAGGAGGAGAAAGCGTGTCCCCTCGAAGAGAAACAGTTGGAGTGAGCGCACACACAGCTCTAGGGGGAGGGCAGCATGGTGGGACGGCTGGACTGGAGCGTCTGGGCGAGGCAGCAGCGATCAGAGGCGTCCAGTTAGCATCTGTCGGGTGCCCGTCATGTTCGACGTGCTCTGCTACGTGCCGAAGGTTGCAGAAGGTCCGGGTCTGCCTCTCAGGCAGCTCAGTGTCAGGTTAACTGAAAACTAGAAAAGCTTGTGGAAAGCACCCAGAGAGGCCACCCGCGTACTAAGTGAGCCCGAGGCTGGGCAGGGACCGCAGCAGGGTGGATGCCGGCAGATGCTTAATAAATGCCCCACGTCCCCACCTCTCAGGCTGGGTTGAATGCACAGGGGGTGGACTGTTCCCCGGGAGCCAGGTCCCCAGGGAGGAGCTGAGAACAACCGCAGGCCTCACATGTCCTCCTTTCTCTCCCAAGAGTCTCTCCAGGGGGAGGGTCCCCATCCTACCTCATCATGTCCCGCCGAAGCCAGCGCCTCACGCGCTACTCGCAGGGTGACGATGATGGCGGCAGCAGCAGTGGAGGGAGTTCGGTGATGGGGAGCCAGAGCACCCTGTTCAAAGACAGTCCTCTCAGGTAGGGGATTCCCGTGGATTGCGGAGAGCTCGGGCAGGTCTTCCTGTTGCCACGTCAGCGGGCAGAGATCAGATGCCCATCCGGTCAAGGGGGAGCCTTCACACCTTGGAGGATGCCAGGACCCAGCACTGCCGCTTCTTCGCCCCCTGTTGCAGGCCAGGCTGCTGTCCTCATGTTCAGAGGACAGGCCGTGGGGAGAGGCAGCTTCAAGAACAAGCCAGGCCAGAACCCCCAAAAGTGCAAGTGGGGTTCACAGGAGCCCCTTCTGCTATGGATAGGTGTGCCCTTCTGACCCTCCGCCCCCGACCCATGTGTACCGTCTGTAGGGCTTCAGCCCGGCCCGCGAAGCCGCTCAGGAGAGGACCAAGTCTGAGGGGCAGAGCAAATGAGCTGAAGCAGGTGCCTGCCTCATCCTGCCCGGCTGGCAGATACGAGGCCCAGAGAGTAGCTCGCGAGGCTTTGGCTAGTCCTAGGAGGCCAGGTCGGGTTGGTCCGGGCTTTCAGTGGGTGGTAGAAATTGCTACTGCTTTAGGAAGCACGAGAAGAAACTTTGGCTTTAAAGTTAGGGACCTGGGGGGCGCCTGGGTGGCTCAGTTGGTTAAGTGACTGCCTTCGGCTCAGGTCATGATCCTGGAGTCCCGGGATCGAGTCCCACATCAGGCTTCCTGCTCAGCAGGGAGTCTGCTTCTCCCTCTGACCCTCTTCCCTCTCGTGCTTTCTATCTCTCATTCTCTCTCTCTCTCTCAAATAAATAAATAAAATCTTTAAAAAAAAATAAAATAAAGTTAGGGACCTGGATTTGAATCCTGACTCCATCACTTAACTGCTGGTGAGATTTAGAGCTAATGGGAGTCAAGAAAGCACCTGTGGTTAGCACCGGCAGGAGCCAGGAAGCTGTTGGTTGCCTAGCAACAGGGCTGACCCACTCACTAGAGGTGGGCAGAGCGGCTTGCTTCCCTATTCCTGGCTGGGCTCACCTGCCTGTTCCCGGCCTCTCCCTGCCTGGTTGACCTCCCACAGGACCTTGAAGAGGAAATCCAGCAACATGAAGCGCCTCTCCCCAGCGCCCCAGCTGGGCCCCTCCTCCGATGCACACACCTCCTACTACAGCGAGTCAGTGGTCAGGGAGTCCTACTTTGGCAGCCCCCGGGCCTCCTCCCTGGCTAGGAGCTCCATCCTCGACGACCACCTCCATAGTGACTCCTACTGGAGTGAGTATCTGAGACCTTTTGCCTGGGGCTTTGCTTTCTTTGCTTCCAGTGGAAACTTAAGGTCCAAAATCTCCCCCTGAGTGGTTTCCTGAGCACTGCTGGGCCAGAGGAGGGGCTCCCCATCTTCAGAAACCCTTAGAAGGGGAGCCGAGTGTCTGAACTCGCAGGCCACGTCAGACAACGAAGTGGTCATGGAGCTGCTCCAGGCCCAGAGACCCTCCTGTGGACCCAGGGAGCTCGGGAGAAGCGAAGGGCAGTCCCATCTGTCCATCAGAGCTGCTCCTCAGGGTGTCCCCATGAGGCCGTGTGGCATAGCCTCCTGGGAGCAGCTCTCGGCTCCCAGAGAACCCCGCGTTCTTCCCTCCGCAGGTGAGGACTTGCGGGGGAGGAGGAGGAGGGGCACGGGTGGCACGGAGAGCAGCAAACTCAACGGGCTTGCTGAGAACAAGAGCTCCGAGGACTTCCTGGGCTCTTCCTCGGGCTACTCTTCTGAGGATGACTTCGCAGGTAGGTGACGCCTCGGGGATACACTCCAGCAGCTCCTGGGACTGCTGGGGCGGTGATGGGGGAGGCCCAGGGAATGTGCCCCCTGACCGCCTGAGAGATCACAGTGTCCGGCAGGCCTCTCCACAGACCAGCCGGGCATCCCTCCCACCCCCGTGCCACCACGGCACCCTGAACCCGGGCCGGGGGGGGCCCTTAACACACCGTGACTGCCCTGTCCCCATCAGTCTGAGCAGCCTGTGGTCAACTCCATTGTGTTTGACTTGTTTCCAGCCAATACTTAACGTGGGGCTTCACACAGAGGAGGGGCTTGACCCCTTTAGTCTAGTTCTGAACAATGGTTTGAAGGACTGCTGGCGAGGAGGGGGATGCAGATGCTCAAAGGAAATAAAATGTCAGAAACCTACCGCTTCATTCCTTTCACAGACGTTTACTGACCTGCTGGGGGCCAGCCTGTGCGATGCTCTGGGAATGCAAAGGAGAATGATAGGTGGTCTCAGCTCACAGTCTAAAGGAGACAACTAATAGGCAGTCTCCATATCCCTGGGCCCATAAAAGTGAGGACAGACTGAATGTGGCCTCTCTGTCCCTGCAGGATACTCGGAGACTGACCACCGTGATTCAGGTTCACAGTTAAGGAACGCCGTCTCCTGGGCAGCCTCTTGTTTCTGGACGCTTGTCACTTCTCCAGGTGGGTCCTGGCTATTCTGTGCATGATTATTTCCATTCTCTACAGCAGTCCCTTCTCCCCGCTTCTCCCTGTGGTTGGGCAGCCCACTGAGAGACCATAGCACCATCAGGGAAAGCTCGTTCTAGGATAATCACTGGAGACCAGGAGCCATAGTAACACTCTAGCATTCTCGGGTGGAGGGGCAGGAGCAGCTGCGGAGCCGGGTGGAGGGTGTTGGCAGACTAGGCAGGTGGGATCAGAGGAACGGGGCGGCCTCGGACAGGACAGAGGTGCTCTGGCAGCTCAGGGGTGGGGGTGGGGGTGGGCAGAGAGGGCGGCAGGTGGACAGAGCGGTGCTCTGAACCATGACCTGCAGGCCTCTGGCTCAGGGTGACACTTAGGCCCTGCTGGTCCCTCTCGTAGGCCGGCTCTTTGGCCTCCTCTACTGGTGGGTTGGCACCACCTGGTATCGCCTGACGACAGCTGCCTCTCTTCTCGATGTCTTCGTTTTAACCAGGTGAGCGAGACCCCCCACTTTGACAATGAATCCGGAAGGCCTGGGATGGAAGGGACCCATAAAGCTCCTAAACCCCTAGATGTCATCTCTCTGAAGGTGGTTGTCCCAGTTTACGGGTGGCTTTTATCAGTGAGCAGGGAGCGGACTCCCCAGAGCCCTTCTTTGCCTGACAGACGATGGGACTGAGTCAGGTGTTTTCCAAACCAATAGCTCTCTTCAGGGAGTGTTCTGGAATTATGGCTTCGTGTTTCTTAGATTCTTCCTGCTAAATGCCAGCCCCATCTGGCCACTTCTGTATCTGCCGAGCCTGGCCTTCCTGCTGGTCAGGTTTTAGGCTCCGGCCAACAAGTGGTGTTGCCAAGAAAGTTCGGTTTCCCTCTTGGCCCCGTGGCAGTCTAGAACCCAGTGTTCTCCGAGGTGTGTTCAGAAGCCAGGAATAGGTGCTGCGTGAGGATGCTGTGGGTTTATTTCCCAAGTCCCTGAGCCAGCAGAGCCAGGAAAGAAGACTGAGCCAGGAAGTCCGGGTCTTCCGGCCGTAGTCCTGGCGGGATGGTCGGCCAGCTGTGCTGAGAGGGGCAAGGATGGATCTGTGTCACCAGAAGAAGGTTCCTCATTTTTCTAAAAGAAAACATTGTTTAAGGAGTTCTGTATTTTTTTTTCTCCTAGAATTGCTTGCTTAGAGGATCCCTGTATTTGAAAATTTCAGGTTTTTCAAGACCCCATGTTTTTTTAAATAACATCAATAAAATTCAGAGAGTCCGAATTCTCCCCATTATTCCAAGACCTGCAGGTAAAGCTCTAACGTGTCCAATCCGGCCCTGGGGAGAGGCGACACTTCAGGGCAACCCCCTCCAGCTCTAGTTTAGCACTCAGGAAAAGCCTCTGCAGACTCCCCGCGGGGATAAAGAGGCCCGAATACCCTCTTGACACCTCCGCTGCGCCCCCCCCATCCCCTCCTGTGGTCCAGGCGCTTCTCGTCTGTGAAGACATTCCTGCGGTTCCTCTCGCTGCTGCTGCTCGTGACCGGCCTGACCTATGGTGAGCTTGCCTGGGGCTGCAGGGGAGGGGTAGGATGAGCATGCTGGGGGGGGGGGGGGGGGCGGGGCCGGGTGTGGGCGGGGGCTGGCGCTGAGCAGAAACGTGAAAACCAGAGGGACTGTGATGAGCTACAGGAAAGGGAAGGAGGCAGGGTGAGTGGGATCAGACTGAGCCTAGGCAGCTCCCAAGCCCCAAGCCCCAAGCCCCAGGCCAGTCCTGTCTGGCTCTCCTGGGTCCTCACTGACCCATGTGGCATTCTCAGGGCGCCCAGTGGGTGAAAGGGGATATGCCCCAGTCCACTGACCTGGTCCTGTTTGGGGGGCTGCTCTGGACTGCCTGGCATGTCTAGAGCATTCTTGGAGCCACCTGGCTCAGGACATGCCCTAGTACAGGAGCACTGGGGTAAAAGCCAGGATCTTGACACTGTTATTAGTAGTTCTTTTCCCTCCATTTGAAAGCAGGACATCGTCTGGGTGAGTGAAGTCTTCTTACGACATCAAGTTCAATCTTTAACTATCTTTGAAATCAAAACAATAAAGTAGTAAAGAGAAGCATGCTCTTTTATACTAATATAGCTCATTTATAAGGTGCTTGACATTGTTCCAGTCTCTATCCTAGGACTACTTTGTGTGTTTTACATAGTTGTAATAATTGTGTGTATATATTTTGTGTTCAGCTTGTAATCTGACAGTATCATAGGAGTCTCACAATTCCATAGGAGTTGCCTCTATGGCCCCCAGCCTGTTTTAATGATTGTACCAATCTACAATTAATTGATAGAGACCATGCTTTATTTTTTTTTAGAGTTGATTTTTTTAAAGTTTTTATTTATTTATTTGAGAGAGAGACACACACAGATTGAGTGGGGAGGAGAGGGCCACGCAGACTCCCCGATGAGCAGGGAGCCCAGTGTGGGGCTCCATCCCAGGACCCTGAGATCATAACCTAAGCCGAAGGCAGATGCTTAACGGGCTGAGCCACCCAGGCGCCCCTAGAGTTGGTTTTATAGGTTTAGCATCTACTCAACTTGTATTTATTGAATAGCAAGGTAGAAAATTTTTCCAAGTGTTGATTTCCTTTTTGTTTCCTGTTACAGGAACAGCTTGTTCACGTCCAGTGGAAACTGGGCATCACCCTTAAAATAATAATGATCCTTTACAATTGTATAGTGCTTTGTTCATGAGTTACCTCCGATAATTTGAGTTTCACCACAGCCTTGTGGGGTTGATGGAGCTGATGTCCCAGCGGCATCTCTCACGAAGAGATGGCGTGTGGAGAGTCTGAAAGGCGGGGGGAGCTCCGGGAGGGGAGTGCAGGAAGTGAGGCGCGTCCAGAGGGACTGACTGAAAGCCTGGTGGGCGTGTGATTCCCGCTGCGCTTGCTCCCAGCCAATGACTGAGTGGCATGTGTGGTCCTACCCGGATGGAGACGCATGAAGCTTTTCAGGTGTCCTCACCCCCCCACACACACACACACACATGCATGTGCACAGCTCAGGAGTAAACGCATGGCAAGCAGATGACCCCTAAAGCAAGATGCAAGTGTCACTGTGGCTGTAGTGCCCTCTCTTAGCAGGTGTCTTGTTTTAGTGATTCTCAGTCACAGTAGTCCATGAGAGTTACCTGGGGAACTTTTTTTCTTTTTTATAAGTAGGCTCCATGCCCAGCATGGAGCCCAATGCTGGGCTTGAACTCATGACCCTGAGATCAAGAGTCAGACACTTAACCAACTGAGCCACCCAGGTGCCCCTCCTGAGGAGCTTTTAAGACTCGCCTACAGGGGGGCGCCTGGGTGGCTCAGTCGTTAAGCGTCTGCCTTCGGCTCAGGTCCTGGGATCGAGCCCCACATCGGGCTCCCTCCTCGGGGCGGGGGGAAGCCTGCTTCTCCCTCTCCCACTCCCCCTGCTTGTGTTCCCTCTCTCGCTGTCTCTGTCAAATACATAAATAAAATCTTTAAAAAAAAAAAAAAAAAAGAATCACCTCCAGGGACAGTGCGGTGGCTCAGTTGGGCATCCAACTCTTGGTTTCAGCTTAGGTCATGATCTTGGGCTCATGGGATCAAGCCCCGCATCAGGCTCCGCGCCTCTGCATGGAGTCTGCTTCTCCCTCTCCCTCTGCTCCTCCCCCAACTCTCTCTTTCTCTAAAGTAAGGAAAATCTTTCACCTCACCTACAGAAGGATCCCCCAGACCAGTGAATTCATGCTCTAGAGAGTGGGGCCAGATACTGGGTATTTTTTAAAAGCTTCCTGGGTGATTCTGATGGACGTTCGGGAGTGGCCTCTGGTTCTACCCCTGGATCATCCCTCGCTTATTATAGCCATGTTCTCGGAGTTTTGCCATCCAGAGAAAGATGAGGGTCCCTGAGGAATGTGAGAACGCATATACTCTGGGACTGTCAGGTGGAAGTTACTGCCTCAGAGAATGATGGGAACCTCCATTCCACCATCCCTCCATCTCTTCCAGAAGAAACGCAGCTCACAGGAATGAGGCTGCTAATAACCCGTGTTGATTAGGCCGCCCACCTCAGCAGCTTGTGCCTTCCTGCTCGTGGCCACTGGCCTGGATAACCCCCTCTCCTCTGTGTACAGGCGCTTGGTATTTCTACCCGTATGGGCTGCAGACGTTCCACCCTGCCGTGGTTTCCTGGTGGACAGCGAAGAGCAGCGGCAGACAGCAGGACGTGTGCGAGTCCAGAGACTCCTCCCACTTGCAGGTGAGGATCTGAGGCTCACGGGCCCTCCCTCTGCCTGTGTTTGCAGTTGATTTCCCTACACCTTACCTACAGGGCTGAGAAGAGGTGCCGTCCTTGCTGATAAACTGCCTTGTCTCCCAGGACACCCCTTTCTCTACTGTTTGGGGTGCAGGTACTGGGGGAGCAGTTTGCTTGTGCTTAAATAGGATTTCAAACTGTGCCAAAGCTAGTTGCTGTCTTAAGCACAGAAAACTGAAGGAAAAAGAATGAGACCAATCATTTTGTCTACTTTTGTTCCTTTGTAATATAATTTCATAAATATTTACTAAGCATCTTCTACAAATAAGGTGATATGTTGGTCAGTTACCAATTACCACAAGTAAATCACCCCTAAAATCAGTGCCTTAAAACTACAAGCATTTGATTAGCTCACGAGTCTGGGGCTCCTCTGGGTGGCTTCTCTGGTCTAAGCAAGGACCGGCTGGTCTAGGCTGGGCTCCCTTGTGTGTCTGCAGCTGGCTGTGCACCACACCTGCTTCTCTCGTCCAGCAGGCTAGCCTGAGCTTGTTCTCATAGCAGCTGACCATGGTTCCATGAGAGCAAAATCAGGCCTAGATTCCGAACTGTCCCTTCCACCACATTCTAGGCCAAAGGCAGTCTCAAAGCCAGTCTACATTCCAAGAGGGGGACACAGACTCCACCTCTTGATGGGAGCACCTGCAAGGCCACACTGCGGAGGGTGCGGATACAGGGAGGAGGGTAGAATGGGGGCCAGTTTTGCAGCCCAGGCTGTGTCCTTAAGGAGCCTGCAGTCCAGTGGGGGTGACAAGTGCCCAGATAACCAGAATATGTGCGTGTGACAATGAAAATTTAAAATTCTTTAGTCCCTAAATATATTTGAATTTTGCTTGCATCTTGCTGAATCTAATTGGATAACACATTTTTAACCATTTATTTTGGTGGATATTACTTTCCTGATCATCATGTTATCATTTCATAAAATAATAACCTATTTTGGCATTATAACTTTCCTTTTTGTAATCATTTGTAAAGATGTTAAATACAATTTCAGGACCACCTTTTCTGTGCAAAGGGGGAGTATATCTTTGTACTTGCTTACATTTGAATAAAGACATGAATGAAAATTGTTGCTTGGTTTGGGAGCAGGTGGTGGTTGAGAGCACCAGGTGGATAGGGACACAGGTTAGAATAACTTCTTACTGTTTGCTTTTTGAGTCCTGTAAATGTACGGCCTATTTAAAAAATTTTAAAAATCAGAAGCAACTTCCACACTTAGGAGGTTCCTGTCTTTAACTGACAGTTGACAGATTATATCTTCCTTTGGCAAAGATTTTTGTTTTTAAGCCAGCAGGTTTCTAAAAATTCATAGCATGCTATCAGGTGCAACCCTCAAGTCCAAATGACTTCTATTTCCTCTGTGGGCCCTCCAGTTGAAGAAAGCAAGCCTTTTCAAATTATTTTGTCTTTTAGCCCTAGTTCTCTTGGACAGACTTAGTGGGAGCTGCTGAAGTCAGCAGCTGAACCCCTCGGCCCCTCGCTCTCTGGCATGCGCACCCATGTAGCAGAGGGAAGGGGGCTGGGGTCAGCCCGGCAGGCCACCCAGTCCCCTGCGGCTCCCTCCTCGCTATGTCCCTGCTCACCTGGCCCACACCCACTCCTCCTTGGGGATCAGACCCTTCCAGGCCATGTGTGTCCGGCGTCCTGTGCCGCACGGTCACTACACGTCAGCAGCCTTACGGCACCCCAGGTCCCTGCTGGCGTCCTCCTCTACCTGCGGGGCACAGAGCATCCTCTGTCACTCACCTCCGTGGCTTTTCCCTCCCCACCCCACCAGGCTGAGCAGCGCATCTTGTCCCGGGTCCACTCTCTGGAGCGGCGTCTGGAAGCTCTCGCTGCTGAATTTTCCTCCAACTGGCAGAAGGAGGCTATGCGGCTGGAGCGGCTGGAGTTGCGGCAGGGATCCGCTGGCGGGGGAGGCCACGTGGGCCTGAGCCAGGAGGACACCCTGGCGCTTCTGGAGGGACTGGTGAGCCGCCGTGAGGCTGCCCTGAAGGAGGACTTCCGCAGGGACACCGCCGCTCGGATCCAGGTCTCTGAGCGGGAGCGGAGTGGCATTTGGGTGGCGTGGTTGGGTGTACGGGGTGGAGGGGCAAGGCCCTGCACACCCTGATATGACAGAGACAGCAGTGTGTCACTTGGCAGTTACCTTCTCTAAGCCTTAGTTCCCTGTAAAATGGAGGCTCTTGTGTTTACCCTTGCACCCCCACCCAGTCATGCAAGCGCGAGACCGTAGAGTGCCTGGCACAAGAGGTGTGCAGTAAGATCCAGGGAGTCTTGCATGTTCCCAAGGAGCACTGGAGAAGAAAGGCCAGGAGCTGAAGTTCAGTCAGGCCTGGTTCAAGTTCCCATCTGACCCTCTGGGTACTGGCTAAGTTCCCTCTGCCTGTAAATCCGGAAAGTCCTCAGCCTCTCTCCTCCGTCTGATAGGAAGAACTGGTCACCCTGAGAGCAGAGCATCAACAAGACTCCGAAGACCTCTTTAAGAAAATTGTCCAGGCTTCCCAGGTCGGTGGGGCCCTTATCCAGTTCAGCATCTGCTCTTGGGCTGAGACAGCATGGCTCTCCCGAAGGGCCTGCTTAGACACCAGATGGGGTGGGGGTATAGTCCCCTGACTTCTGCGGGGCCCGAACCCACAGGCTCTGGAATGCTTTGCAGGGATGCGCTGGGGCGTGCTTGAGGAAGGGGGGCTTTCAGGAGGTCTGTTGTGCTGAGTATAACATGCCGAGTGAATGAATGAATGAATGCCGAAGTGTGCCAGCAGGGAGACTCTCTTAAGGACCCTGACCAGGAGGTGTTTAAGGTTTGCCGGGGTGGGGCTGTGGTGAAACCAAGACTCCGAAGGGAACAGATCCTGCTCCCGGAGACCGGTTGCTGTGAGCTTGGCATTTGTTCTATCCGTGCTTTCTTCCCGCTACAGGAGTCTGAGGCTCGACTCCAGCAGCTGAAGTCTGAGTGGCAAAGGTAATAGGCACTGCCATCTGGCCTAGGCCTGCTCCTCCCCCGCCCCTTCCCCCCACACCCAGGCAGGCCTGGGGAGCAGAGTCCCAGAGCAGAGAGGGGACGGCTGAAACCTAGCTCAGGAACACCTGCTTAGAGCCTGTCAAGAGAGGTTGGGTATGGGAGGCACTGCAGGAGAATTGGGATTTGTGGGTTTGGGTGTAGACATGCCATTTTTTCTGTACACACTCATGTAGGCTGCCTTCCCATGCCCCAGACATCCGTATGTGTGGAGGGTGGGAGAGGCTGAGGCAGAGTGAATTATGGACCTGGCGTTAGAAAGGGAACAGGGTAAGAATTTATTCCTTGGGATAAGCAAACCAGTTCGTAGGTGCCGGGGCCATGGTCCCCAGGTGTAGGCCTTGCGTGCACCTGCAGGTGATGAGCACACACTTCTATTGGGAGCCAACGAGGGGATCCTCTTGTGTTCCTCAGCACGGCCTCACCCCTCACCAGAGAGCCAAGGCTTACTCTTTTCTCCTCTCTTCCGGAGTAGGATGACCCAAGAGGCCTTCCGAGAGAACTCCATGAAGGAGCTGGGGCGGCTGGAGGGCCAGCTGGCAGCCCTGAGCCTGAAGCAGAGCTCGGTGGCAGAGCAAGTGGGCCTCCTGCCCCAGCAGCTGCAGGCCGTGAGGGATGACGTAAGTTGGAACCACCCAAGTCCCCTGCTGAACACCCTGTCCCCTGAGGGCATCTGTCCTAGGAGCCCATATGGCAAAGAGCCTATTTGTCCCACCGGCCCCTGCTTGGGACTTGGCACAGATGTTGGCTTTCTTTGACCGGAGTTCTTCTGGTTTTGTTTTCAATAACGGGGAGGGTTGTGCATAACTCTTTCTTCCATGTGGGTTAGCAGGATTTGCTGGCCCGGCCCTCCCCTCCCAGGCTTGTGCTCCTTCCCTACCCCTTCTACTCAAGCCAGGCACCACCCTGCCCTGGCCTGGGCCACCAGAGCAACACTCCCTGTGAGCCTCTCAGAGACCTTTTTTCGGTCCCCAGGTGGAGTCTCAGTTCCCCGCCTGGGTCAGTCAGTTCCTTCTCCGAGGTGGAGGAACCCGCACGGGGCTCCTTCAGCGAGAAGAGATGCAAGCTCAGCTGCAGGAGCTGGAGAGCAAGATCCTTGCCCACGTGGCTGAGATGCAGGGCAAGTCAGCGAGGGAGGCCGCGGCCAGCCTAGGGCTGACGCTGCAGAAGGAAGGTGTGATTGGGGTGACAGAGGAGGTAAGGACTGTGTGGCCCCTGGAACAGCCCCACCCCCGACACAGTGTTCTCTTCCCGGGGAGCCATAGACCTGCACAGTCCCAACACTGCCGGCTTCCTGGTATGTTCCAAGGCCTAAGGGACATGTGAGAGGCTCTGATGTCGGCTTTGGGGCTGGTGGGGGTGGGGGCGGGGGTGCACCTAGGGAAGTGGCATGTGTGGCTGGATGCCAGTGTGTGGTGCAGGATAGGGGGGCCCCCAGGAGTAGGGGCTCAAGGGTGGACAGGTCTGCTTCTCCTGGCAGCCGCCCTGGGTGCTTCTTTTAGCAGGTGCAGCGCATTGTAAACCAGGCCCTGAAGCGCTACAGTGAGGACCGCATCGGGATGGTGGACTACGCTCTGGAATCAGGAGGTGTGTGTGCACTCTCCCCCCTTTGCAGAGCCTTTGTCCTGCTGCTGGCCAGGTCCCTGTGCTGGCCGGCCCTCTGGCATCGGCCGGAGCAGCCATGTTGCTAGGCGAGTGGAGCTTGAGATCAGCACACATCACTCACAGCGAAGGCAAGTGAAGAAGCTTAGGGGAAGTCTGGATGAACTGAACACCACTGTTGGCCAGGGAGAGGCTGACGTTTACAGTTATTCTGCAGTTGGATATAGTTGAGTACACAGACTAGGCCCGGGGCATCTGCCCTCCATCCTCAGAGAGGACATGGCAATAGCCGTCCCCACCTGGGTTCCCTGGGCTGGTGAGATGCACTGGTGTCTGGGTTACCCACCCTCCCTCCCCTGCTGGGGTCCAGCTCCAGGTGCCCACACTGCCTTGCTTTCCTGTCTTAGGAGCTAGTGTTATCAGCACCCGGTGTTCCGAGACCTACGAGACCAAGACGGCCCTCCTCAGCCTCTTCGGCATCCCCCTGTGGTACCACTCGCAGTCACCCCGAGTCATTCTCCAGGTAGGCACCCAAAGAGGGCAGCGGCAGGGGTCCCGAGCAGTCACCTGTACAGCTGGGGGCTCCCATCCTGGGGTCAGCAAAAGCTGTGCTCAGGGTGGGCTATCTTGGTCACCAGCCCTACGCTGACCCAGCTTCCTTCCCCTCCAGCCAGATGTGCACCCAGGCAACTGCTGGGCCTTCCAGGGGCCCCAGGGCTTTGCCGTGGTTCGCCTCTCTGCCCGCATCCGCCCCACTGCTGTCACCTTAGAGCATGTCCCCAAGTCCTTGTCGCCCAACAGCACCATCTCCAGTGCCCCCAAGGACTTCTCCATCTTTGTGAGTACCTGTGGGGGGCCAGGGAGGGCTACAGGACCCTGTGAGGCTCTACCGAGGACAAAGCTGGGATCTGTTCTTTGGCTGGGAAGAAAGGAGCAGATTTGGAAGAGAGCAGCAGGGTGGGAAATGGTACCTCAGTCCCAGTTATCTTAGGCTGCACTGGAAGAAACCGGGTCCAGGGCTCAGGCCCCCCACAGTCTCACTAAGGCTGCTGCCTGATCTGCTAGTGTGGGAAGGGACCAGTATGGGAACAGGAAGGGAGAACATTCCTCCCTGGGGGGGCGGGGGCACTTGTCTAGTGCAAGATCTTCTCTCCATCCCTTGTTCTCTTTTCAGGGGTTTGATGAAGACCTACAGCAAGAGGGGACACTTCTCGGCCAGTTCACCTACGACCAGGATGGGGAGCCCATTCAGACCTTCTATTTTCAGGTACAGGACTCTGCTATGCTAGCAGACGTGGCACGCTCACTTTCCCATCCACTCAGCAGACGGTTTGAGCACTTACCCTGGGCAGGGCACTGGGGGCTCAGGGCAAGAAAAAGTGTAACCCCTGCCTTCCAAGAGCTCAAGGTAGGGAAGAGGGACAGCTGTCCAAGTGGGACGGGAGAGGCACTACCTAGATGTCAGCACAGGGGAGGGTCCCATCCCAGACAGGGAGCATGGAAAAGGCTGCCCAGAAAGGGCAGTTGTCTGAGGGTGATCCAGCTGGGCCTCAGGCGGTGCAGCATGGCTAGGGCACGCAGGGAGGGCGCTTGCCTCAACCCGAGTGGGCATCAGTCTCCCAGGCCCTTGTTAGATACGCAGATTCCCAGTCTCCACCCCAGGAGATAGGCTCCCAGGTTCCAACAGCCCTAAGGAATCAATGTTTTTTTTTTTTTCCAAAGATTTTATTTGAGGGCGCCTGGGTGGCTCAGTTGTTAAGTGTCTGCCTTCGGCTCAGGTCATGATCCCAGGGTCCTGGGATCGAGCCCCGCATCGGGCTCCCTGCTCTGCGGGGAGCCTGCTTCTCCCTCTGCCACTCCCCCTGCTTGTATTCTCTCTCTAGCTGTGTCTCTCTTTGTCAAATAAATAAATAAAACCTTAAAAAAGATTTTTATTTGAGAGAGAGTACACATGAGTGGGGGGGGGAGGGCAAGAAGAGGGAGAAACAGACTCCCCCACTGAGCAGGGAACCCAATGCAGGGCTCGATCCCAGGACCCTGGGATCATGACCTGTATCCGAAGGCAGCTACTTAACCGACTGAGCCACCCAGGCGCCCCAGGAATCAATGTTCTAACAAGCAGCCCAGATGACTGCTGTGCAGGGGGCTTGAGAGCTACACCAGGGGTGAAGAATTGGATGAGGTGGCAAAGGGACAGTGGCGGGAAGGGAGGCCGGAGAGAGGCAGGCCTGGCTACCAGGCCAAAGACTTTTGGCCCTGATGGGCACTGCCATGTTTTCGGCAGAGAAGTGACAATACCTTGTAGTAAGATCACTGTGACCATGTGGAAATGATGAATCTAGGGGACAAGACCAGTCAGGAAGTGGCTGCAGAGAGAGGGTGTGAGGAGGGAGAGGTGGATGCACAGTTGGGAGGCCAAGGGTCAGGCTGCACAGAAGTGGGGAAGGGGTAAGAAAGGGATGGCTTCCAGAGGTGCCAAGAGGCAGGCTAATGTGGGTGGGGGGGTGGCCACCAAGTCTGAGGCACCTGTGGGATGGCCCAGTGGAGGGATCAGGGGAACTAGACACAAAGACTGAGCGGTCGGCTCCAGGGTGGTAACTGAGCCAGTGGGGTACTCAGGGATGGGTGTAGATTGAGCCTTTAGGAGAAGGCAGAGGACAAGAGACTGTGTGGAAGGCCAGAAGGAGACAGGAAGAATAGGAAAGCACTGTGCCTACTGGCATCAAACCAGGGGAAATTTGCTCCGAAAGCTCACTCAAAAATTGTGGCTTTTTGAGCAAAGAGAACCAGAGGCCTGATGAGAACTTGAGAGAGAATAATTCTGCCTAATTCAGAGTAAAAGGATTCTTTTCCAGCGTCAACATCTATCAAACCCTCCACAAAGGTAATTCTGTCCACTGGCAGTAATAGCTCCTATGAATCTGTCAGTTTGGGATGAATTTCGCTGGTCCTCAGCTACACGGCCGTTTGTATGTGGCTGTGGGTCACTGGCCCCTGGAGGACCTCTGAAGCCCCTGGAGCTCCTTGGCTCATAGGCTGGAAACTGCTTCATGGTCTGAGGACGGGACCTTGGAAGCCCACTTCTCTGTAGAGGTCGATGGGGGGGTGTGCATCTGACCCTGGGGATGGCTGTCTCCCTTCCTGCCCTCCTGTCAGTGAAGTTTGAGGACTTGGCCACTCCTAACCTCTTCTTTCTCTACCCAGGACACTAAAATGGCCACATACCAGGTGGTAGAGCTACGGATCTTGACTAACTGGGGCCATCCCGAGTACACCTGCATCTACCGCTTCCGGGTGCATGGGGAACCCACCCACTAGGCCTTTTCTGTACTGCGGCGAGCCAGCTGGGAGTCCAGCCCCTCTCAGCACGTGCCCCCTTCTCTGGGAATGGGAGAGCAGCACCCTGCCACTTCCCCACATGCTTGACCAGCGCACGGACTTCGAGGAGCAAGAACCCCTGGCCCGATGGAGCTGAGAATATATAGGGCTTTCCTAGCAGCAGGACAGCTCAAGGTGGACAGCAAGCTTCAGTGTCCCTTTTCTTTGTCCTCCTTGTGCCAGGCATGGGGTGTCTACTTCCCCCTCTTGGGATGGTGTATATATGTAGCATATCATGGGGGATTGAAAGACAGGGAGAGAGGCAATGAGTGGACATGTTCCAGCAAAGGGGGGTGTAACCTGTCTGCCCCTTAAACAGGATGGGGGCTGGCACCCAGGGAGCTGCTGTTGGTAGGTGTGTGAATGAAGCAGGTGCCAAAGCCGTGGGTGGGCTATAAGTGAGGACCTGGGGCAAGTGAGCTGCCCTCATCCACAGGCAGGGAAGTGAGGTCCTCTGGGAGGAAAGTGCTTGTGGTGCAGGTTGGGATTGAGCCCCAGTCAGGAAGCTCCTTGTACAGGGCAGCTGGGCTCTTCTAGAAGTCTAGTGCCATCAACCTAAGGGAGCTTGACCCATGAGGTCCCCCAAAGGCCTCACTACACTGTATTTGGTCTGGATCACAGTGGGCCCTTGAGCTTCCCATGCCCTCGAGGGTCTGGCTCCTATGAGCCTCTGAGGGCCCGGGGGGCCAACCTGTAGGATTCCCACTCTGCTGGGGCTAGTTGCTTTCTCTGTCTCTCCTGATGCTGGGACCGGGGCCTACTCTGCTCCCCATTCCTGCTAGGGCCTGCCTGTGCCCCAGAGCAAGCTTGTCACATTCCCCCAGGGTGAAGGGAGCCTAGACCAGTTTTTTGAGGCCATAAGCAACTGGGGTAAGCTTAAAAGGGTGAGGAGCAGGGTATTCCCTAGGCTCTCGGGATGGTCCAATGAGTATGATGGTAACATTCAAGGTGTCATGGTGGGAAGAGGTCTGTCTACTGTGGGCCCCCATCCTAGTCAGGCCCCTGACTATAAGGGCCCTGATCCTCAGCTACCCCCTTGGGACTCTTTCAAGCTCTTGCTCAGATTGTTTCTTTTCTGGCTCATTTTCTATGGGGGGTGGCATTCAGGGGTGGTGGGCAGCGGGGAGATAGGGCTTTTAGACCCAAGCAGGCCTGCTGTATTATGTATATATTTTTCAAGGTCTGATTTTTAACTGAAAAGCTTTGGGCTTGATTCCTAGCCCCGTTCTGTGGGGCACTGGCTGATTTCAGTTCCTTGTAACCCAGCTGCCGTGAGGGGCTGCTGTGGAGGCAAGTGCCCCAGGAGCAGGGCTGAGCCCCAGATGGGCTCGTAGGGGAGGAAGCTGGAAGGAAGAGGAGGCCCAAGGCCACCTCTGGTCCTCTGGCAGTGGCCCCATCCCAGATAACCAGGTTTCGTTTTCTGCTCTCCTGTCACAAATGCTGCACTATTGGTTCTGAATTTTTTATCTCCACATTCTAATTTATGCCTATGCAAAAAAAATAAATTATGCCCAGGATTCATGGCGTGTGTAGTTTTTTATCTGGCCCTGGCACCGGGACTCTGCTCTTGGGAAGACAAGAGAATGAACTCTGAACCAAAACAATGCCCCAAAGACTTACCCCTGAACTTCAGAAACCCAGGCTTCTCCACTAAAACCCAGCTGGGATGGGGCAACGGGGCTTGAGGCTGACCCTGCTCTGGGATTCTGGGCTCAGGGGAGAGAAAGGGTGATGAAGAAAGAAGGGAGGTGGCTTTATTAGCCCTCCTAGACATCCCAGTAGGAAGGGGGCAGCTTTGCCTGCCTCTTGGTGTCACTTGAGCAGAAGGTAGACAAATTTACCTGTTTCACTACTGACCACGTCTGCCTTCAGTGTGGGACTGGACTCCACTGTGGGAACTGGACATTTGTCCCTTGTACCTGTGCTGGGATGGCACAAGAAGGGTCCCCTGAAGAGCCAGAACCTGCCAGCTCAGAGGAACAGGTCCTGGCCCTTCCCTGCCAGTATGTCCCCAGATTCAGTGCCTCCAATAAGCTGCTTGAAGGGCCAGGGGTGGTTCCACAACCACGCTTTCCAACATACTCTGCTCCTGACCATGGCACCTGACCCAGGGCTGGTCCCCACCACATCTGAGAAAACAGAGGCTGGGATGGGTCAGAAGGGTAAGGGTAAGGGATAAACTGCCAGAGAAGAGGGTACCAGGTGCAGTGTAAATCCAGCCCTGAGGCCTTGGGCCAGTTAACCCCTCACCCCTCTATGCCAGGAAAGAGCTGGTCCTATGGCTCACCCCCAGTGACCACTCCATTTTCCCTACTTAACACCTGCTCTGCGTCTAGAACGTCTTTCAACAAAGGAGCTATCCCCCAGCTGCACCACTAAACGAGTGCCTGGAACTTACAGTGCTCCTGGTTGTGCTCTCCAGGCCAGACTGCCCGTCTGTACATGTTCAAATCCTCCTGACCCCTCAAGGCACAGCTCTCACCCCATTTTCTCCATGCCCCATGCCCTCAAGCCTGTGTTTCCCCCTGCACCATGGCATGGTCCCGTTCCCTTATTCTGTGCCAGGGAGGCCAATAAGCCAGAACAGGGGTCCTAACCGAATTAGACGCCACAAATGCTAGCTGTACATACAGAAGGGTCAGGATCGGTCATTCGAGATGATTAACAACTTTATTCTTTATCAGCTATAAAAGGGCTGGTGTTTTGTTCCAAAGTGAGAGTCGGTAGGGCTGAGACCCGTAGAGTCCCTGTTAATGACAGTAAAACACTGTATTCAGTCAGCCCCTGCTAGCAGGCACGGGTCTGGTGACCACCAAGATCCAAACCAACCTCCTGCACGTCTGAGGGCAGAGGCCAGGGTGGAGACCACAGCTTCCAAATGTAAAGAAAGTGGTTATGCTCTTTGGGGCAAAAGAGTTCATTCAAACAAGGTCCCCACCCTGGTGAAGTCCTGTGGAAACATGGGCTCCACAGCACCTGCCACGGGGACAGAGAGCAGAGGGGTGCTCAATGCTGCAGCCTTCCTCTTGCGAAGGTACCAGTGGGCGGCAGCCCCTATAAGCAGGACCAGAGTCAAAAAGCAAGAAGGAACTAGCACACAAAGGAACAGGCAGGGGCCCAAGGCCACGGGGCAGAGCGGCTGCCTACTGACGGCGGGGGCTGAGGGCTGGTGCAGGCATGAATGTGCCCGCTGGTGGCGCTGCTCCTCCGAGCTTCAGTTGCCTTAACTAGAAAAAGGGACCGCCACCTCTCTCCTAGATGGCAGCTTCAAAATCAAAACGCCTAAGTGAGGGAGACATCCAGCAGACACATGTCAATGCCCCCTTTCTCCCTGCACGCCTGCCCACCGCCCCGAGGACCTGGGAGCCGGTGCGGGGGGGGCAGCAGCACGGGGACTGGTCAGCGGCGCCTCCCACAGGCTGGCACATCAGAGCCTCACCACACGCTCTCTCACTGAACCCTCACAACCACCACGACACAGGCATTTGTTTACCTCTCGCTCTAGATGAGGAAATAGGCTCAGGGAAGACTGGCAACTTGTCCCGTGTCACATCTGCCAGAGGAGCCTGCATTTTAAAGCCACACGTGCCTGAGAGAAGCTGGGCTCCTCCCGCCCCTGCCCTGCCCCGCAGCTGGGGGCTTGGGGGCAGGCACAGCCAGCGCTCCCCATGGCGGCACCTCCACCTGGGGGGCCGGGGCAGGAACAGGACACCGTCAACTTGGAACAAACTTTTATTTCTTGTGCTGGTCTGGTCAGTCCATGGCCATGGGTCAGTGGTAACTGGAAATAGCTGGAAGGAGGGGAGGTGAGGGGACCAGCAGTCCAGAAGCAGGAAGAATGGAGGACAGTTGGGGATGGGAGGGAGGCAAGGCTGAGGAAGGACCCAGCCAGCTGGGTGTCTGTCCTGGCTAGAAAGAACACATCTCCACCCACCAGTCCACCCTAAACCCAGGGGTTCTGGCCACAGCTCGGGCCAGGCTGGTCTGGGCCCCACACTGCTCGCTGGCCTGAGTGACCCCGACCCCACCCCACCCCAGGCAGTGAATCTTCCAGAGGGATTAATGTTCTGTGCTGGGCCTAGAAGAATCTTTTTCACTACCCTTACCTGCCCTTCCCACAACTCAAATGGGGCTTCCGAAACTGGGGCTCAGGCCCTTCCCTGTTGTGCTCCTGTAGCAGCCATGCTGGGGCAACATGGTGGGGCTGTAGTGGGGAAGAAGGGGTTCCAGTCCTGGCCTGGCTCAGAGGAACACCTCACACCCCCACCAATAGGAGGTGCTGGTGAGCCGGACCCAGAGGAAGCCAATCCCAGTCCAGGTCATCAGTGCCCCAAGGCCCAATAAGATTCATAGAAAGTTCAAGGGCCAGAGCCCCCAGCTCAAAATCAGCACAATGGGAGTTGCCCTGGCCTGGCCAGGCAAACACAGGATTGTCTCCAAGGGGAAAGGAAAACCACCAGCTGTCTTTGGGTCAGTGGCAAGGGTCAGAGTTAGGGGCAGGGAGGTTCCCACAATCCAAGTGCCACTCCCCTCCACACATCTACAGGCTACAGCTTAAGAGATTTTGGCTTTACCTGTTTTGGGGCTTAAGGCAGGGGGGAAGGAGGAGAGAGAGAAAAGGAGGCCACCACTCTCCATTCTGCTAAAAGCCCCCCAGTCCCAGAAGGAAGGCTCCCTGCTCTGGCAGCAGCACTTACGAAGCCCCTAAGCCCCAAGTCCGGCTCTGTGGAGGGCTCTGGGTGCAGAGGAGTGAGCACAGGGGAGGAGGGTGAGCACAGGGGAGGAGGGTGAGCACAGGGGAGGAGGGTGAGCACGGCGGGGGAGGGAGGGTGAGCACAGGGGAGGAGGGTGAGCACAGGGGAGGAGGGTGCTCTTCAGCTCCTGAAAGCCCCTAAAGGTTGTCAGACACACAGACGGATGGACACACGGGCAGGCAGCCAGCTCCTGGAGGCTGGTGGCCAGCCACAGAGGAAAAAAGGAGAAAGGCTGCCAGGGCCCTGACCGGCTACACTTCTGCACCACACACACACACACACACACACATACACACGCACGCGCGCGCGCACGCACACGCACACACACACACTCTAAAGAGAGAGAAAGAGATAATAAAAAGAATAAAAACTAAGGGCCCAGATGTACAAAAAATGTGAGTAAGGAAGAAGGCAGGGAAGAAGGTGGATGATGGTCAGTCCTCCAGAAGTCTGGCCACCTTCCTCAGCTTATAAATTACAACCCCCCTGGAAAATGGGGGTGGGGGTGGGGAATGATGAGGCTCCGCAGTGGCCTGGGGGAGGGCGGGTGGTGGTCAGAGCTGCTCTGGCCCACGTGGTAGAACGGTGGCCAGAGTACAAGGATCCCTTGGGTGGTGGGGGTGGGCCGGGGAGATTCAGCAGCCGCTGGCAGGAGTCACGCAGGCCCCCTGGGACTTCACTTTGTGACGCTGGCCCCCCCGTCGCCGGCCCCCGCTGCTGGGCTTGGGCTGAAAGGGAGAAAGAAGGAGCTTGAGAAGTAGTGGCCCACTGGGAGCAGGGAAGGACAGCAGAGGGGCAAGGTGGTGGGAAAAGGGGTAAGAGAAAAGCCAGCAGGCAGGGTGGTCCCAGCCTAGCCT